GGCAGTAGTGTAGTGGGTTCGGATCCCGGTCACTGCCACTAACTTTTATCAGTACAGTTCACCTTTGTACTGTACCGGCTCACCCCTTGCTTTGCTGAATACGTTCCACGCACAGATCTGTAGTCTATGTTGACGGGCAAATGCAAGGTTAAAAGAGGCCGACAACCTCTTAAAAAAAATTCCAGATAAGCACGTCATTCAATTTTTCAGTGCCTCATTTAAGTCATATTTTCAATTAGTTTAAATCCAATCCACCCCAAAACCCCTGTCAATACGTTGGATACAGACCAAAAACATTCTTAAAAAAGGTTATGTTTTCTGACATAACACGTAAATAAAGTAAGAGTGTATTTAAATTTTTACTTACTCCACAGTATACAGGTTAAGGGTTGGTTCGTCAAATTGGGGATATACGTATTAAGTGTTACAATGTATTATGATTGAATATGGTGGTACTTTTTTAGGCGAGGAAATATTTTTCTTTTGATTCAAATTACTGTTATTCACAAGACGGTAAATATACAAAATAGATGGTAAGTGGTAGTCGATTTCGATTGAACACTCCAATCACCATCAGACCCAATAGGCGAATAACAAGAATCTTGAATGGCGTCCCTACATATACCCTATTGATTGGCTACCGGAAGCACCGGCCAATACATTTTTATAAGTACAACTGGAATCAAAATGTACTTGTTCATTAATCAACTTATTTCTATTTTTACATTTTTGACGATTTCTTTATTGACCCTGCATTGGCTTAAGGTCCAACTACTCCACCAGGCATGGCTCACAAATTTTTACATTTGTTCACACACAAGACCAAAAACAATTTTTAAATTCCCTGCTAAAAATGTAAAACGAGAAATACTTTTAGCTCCTCGATTTTATAATAGTTTAAAGGTTTACTATAATTAAAAACGATAGCAGCGTGCCCTAAAACAGGTTATACATCAATTTCTTCTCTAAACTGTGTTTAACACTCATATAATGAAATTGAGAGTAAAGGAATGGATTAGTCGGTATATGTTTGAGTTCCATGGACAAGAACCTGTAGGATTTCATGTCTAAATCGATCACCCTTCTATGTGACATTGTTAGCGAATTTCCCTATAGGGAAGTAGCTATTACCGTAGGTCTCATGGTAAGACTTAGGCCCGGGACCGATTTACTTTTTCATTTTGATGTCCCCAGAGGACAAAAACACCATTCGTTCAAATTTTTATATATGTATATATATATATATATATATATATATATAGATTTATGTATATATGTGTCCGTGAACACGATAACTTGAGTAATTTTTATCTGATTTTGATGAAATTTGGTTTGAAGGTGTAAGGCGGGATAGACTTGAATGAGTTTGTACAGTTATTAGTTACGGAGAAAACTAAAAAAATTGTAAATTTAAAATTCCCATGTTATTCTTATGGAGAATATTGTAAAATGTTGTAGTTTGCTTGTTTATGGATATCTTTTGATCAAACTTGGCAAATATATTCATTTTCTACTAAGCAATAATTATTTTACTTAAAACACACACTTTATTAGTTTCCTTGTAGCAGCAAACCTAGGTACTCGTTAAACCTAATGTTATTTAAATAGATGGATTGAAAATTAATTCAGCCAAATGGAAATTCGCTTAGACGGCAGGTTTGCTGTGGCGGGGGTATATATTAGTTGGCATTGTACGGAGTTCAACTATTAAATGTTCAGGTTACGCGTATTTTGATCAATGAAAATTGAGCCCAAAAATATAATTCCCCTTTATTTGAAAAAAAAAACCCTAATCTCTTTTATCAAGGCATTAAATAATCATCTTACTTCAACTTAAATATGTAACGGATAAGGTGGAAGAGAGAAAGATAAAAGGAGTGAGAGAAAAGGAGAGAGATAGGCCAGGTGGACTACAACTCTCTGCACTTAGGCGTAATATAATTTCACAAAAGGAAACTCCCTTCTCCTACCACCCAATACAGCCTAGATATCAGTCTTATGTATTTTGTAAGATGATCAACAAACCAATAAAGAAATGTTAATTTAATATAACTTTAGTTATAGACGTTTTAGACATTAATTGTTAGCTCTATTTATATTATCATGCATGTCTTTGGTTTGTCATGATTGTAATGTAAGACTTTTGTGTAAATTAATTACTTATGTATAATTCCAATCATCATGAAAGTTGTTATCTTGCTAGCTTTTTAGTCTTGAAGTTTTCAAATTTGTATTAGCTTGGAACATGTTTTATATTCTGCACTTCTGAATATAAAGTTTTTCTGGTCATCTTTAAAAAGTTTATCCGCTAAACTGGATTACTTATTAATATTTTTACATACACTTTATTATTTTACTGTAATATTGAAATTGTAGTTTTTTTAATGAATTTGTATCATATGCACAAGAATTAAATTTAAACGTGCATTTATTGATGTAATTTGAGTTGTTTGTGTATTTTTCAATACTATTTTTGTATTTTAAATCAAAAAAATCCTTTCTATGAACCAAAATTTGCATCGTGAGTTTGTAAATATATCCTAATGTTTGTAATACCACAAAATCTATAAGAAAAATGCATATACAAATTGAAAATAGTAAACTCATCTACGATTCAGTTTTTGTTTTACATAAAGACTAAGAAATCTTCAAATTGGTTACTGAGGATATACAATAGCTGTACCTACACATGTCGGTAACAGTTGAGAATGATAATGATGGACAAAGGTCTCGACGGAGTGCCCAAGGCTACTGCTAACTGCTTTTATCACATTGGTTACTCTACTAAAAGCTCTTGTATTTTTCCTTCCGATAAAGTTGTGAATACTCTTCACCGCGTTTGGCTGCTTGTTATTTACACAATCAAGCTTTTCCTTATTTTATCCTGCACCAAGATACATATAATGCCTTATAAAAATTTGTAATAAAAGTTTTATTGTGTGTAAATGTATCCGACAATCTGAGAGGAAGGTTTCTTTTATAATTCAATATTCTAGATAGAGTTTGAAGCTTTCTAAACATTTTTTTAAAGAAAATATTTATATGTATGATCAGTTATCTGGTACATACATATTAATGCGTTTTGTAGAGCGTCCAGTAATGAAAAAAAAGAAAAAAATAGGGAATGCATATTTATGTAAAAAAATAATGAAAACTAAAGTTTGTATTACTTAAATTACCCTTTCAACACTAAAATGTGCCTCAAGCACATTAGATGTGTTACAGAAAAAGAAAAAAAATCCTCTTTTAAAAACGGGAGCACATTTATATTTGTTTTCCTCCTTCTCATGAAGCATTAGTAAAATGGTGTTGTTATACGTCTTAAGAATTCATAAATAAGAAGAATCTCTTCCCGATGATAACAACAAATCACCGTTGACGATACAATGTGAATATTTATGCGTTAGCGTTACTACATAAAAAAACATACATTAAAAAAATAACATTGATGTAGGCTACCAAAAGACATTTTGCATATATGATAAAAAAAAGAATTCAAAATTGATTATCACGAATCTGCAGTTTACCTACATTAGGAGTACCTATATGACATTTTGAGATATGTGTATTGTGTATGTAGAATAAATAGACCATTATGAACACCAAAAACAATAATTAGTTACTGGACCCATTCATTAATCCGGGGTATATTTCGAATGTTAAAAAATTCACAAGCCATAAAAAACCCATCTTGCCACTTATTAGTTTTTGTGTAGATATTTTCAGATACATAAAGTTCACACTTAAGTATATTATTTAAATAAAAACAGGTTCGATCGTTTTGTCAGGATTTGTATGAGACATAAGCATACGTAGAGTAAAAGTGAACACCTATAACAGTTCGTGACGGAATAAACACAACGGAGACACAAATTGCAAGTTAATCCAGAGATATTTGGTGACAGCACGCGCAGTTGACGGCATCGGTTCAAACGTCTCTGGAAATACGTGTTTATCACTATATCTTGCTTATATTTACATGTTGTTGCAGTTAGACCTGTTATTGGCTAACCTTCACTTTTAAAATGCCTTGATAATGGCTACGACCTAGCATTAATCAAATCAAATCAAATCAAATCCATTTATTGCCATCAACACTAAAATACATGTATAGCAACGTCATACAATTACATCACAGTATATGCATTAACCTACTTAATATGTTCTACAAATTCTTTGACCTTATACACACATAAATCACACAAAATCTTTCTAATAGTAAATTTAAATTGTCGTATTTCAAGACATTTAATGTGAGCAGGTAACATATTATACAACCTTTTGCCAAATTCACTAAAGTTATTAATTGTGGTCATAAAATTACATTGGTTTGGACGGAGAAAAGTGTTTTGTCTGGTAAAATGGTTATGAACTGAATCATTTGTAGGGAAATCTCTAATATTATTTTTAACATACAGTAAACAATCTAAAATGTACAGAGAAGTGACAGTTAAAATTCCAAGTTTCTTGAATAATGGCTTACAATGTGTTTCACTGTCAACATTGAATATTGCCCTAACAGCTTTCTTTTGCAACAGTTTCAGCTTTTTAATACTACCAGAATGGCCCCACACAACAATACTATAAGACAAATGACTTTGAATGTGAGCAAAATAAATGGATTTCAACACATCTATACTAACGAAAGGTCTAAGTTTTCTAATCATAAATGTACCCTTGGCAACTTTTTTACAAATCATATCACTCTGAGAATCCCACTTAATGTTGTATTAGTTTTGTATACAATGTACGTTCTTGTAAAACGTTTCCAGGTTAATTGAGTTGTAGATGGGGAGCATTTAATTCTTCCTTCTTACAATCTAACTTACTATTGGACATAAAATATTCGAATCCTGTCTGTGTTTTATTTCAAATATGAAAAATCTACCCCACTCAGGAGCATCAGTTTTGAAAACGTCTCGGATATGAGGGTTACTGTTTTTTATGATATTGATTGCATTGGAAATGTCAGATCTATATAAGTGTCTGTTATGTTTCAGACTGTTACGAACATTCTCCTTCTAGTCACTGCGAATCTTCTAGGGCTCACCTCCTTCTACATAGAGGACCGGCAACAGAGGACTGCCTTCTTGGAGACTCGGCAGTGTTTGGAGATGAAACTTGTGATAGAAGAACAATCGGCAGAGCAGGTAGCACTCTTCCCAGGGGTTCATTGTATCAAACCCCTTAGTAAAAAACATTACATACATCTAAAACTAGGAAAGGTTTGAACTAAATTGTTCTCGTCAAGAACCACAAATGATACGATTTTGAGTGTTTATCGTTTATGCTATCTGCGGCCAATAGGGTATTTATACCTCCATTTTTTGCACTAATTTACACTGTGGTGTTATCAATTTTTAAAATGTCTCAATTTTCTTAGGAACATCTATACCCTAATTGAGTACCTATTTTGATAGACGAGGGATTAACACAGCCTCTTCTCAAGATTATGCCAAATGAATTCTAGTAAATAATCAATAATGTTTTGATAATCTTTACTATTTTTTTACGATTTGTATGGGCATTTTTTATACTATCAAAAATAAAACCAACAATCAGAGGAGTACTAGGTCTGTTTTGTGATTAAAATGCAATTTAATTATCAGGGACACTTTTAATCAACTAACAGCCAAGAGCTTAAGTGTCCCAACTGCTCAAGTTACACGAAACTAGTGACAATAATTCACAATCAAGTTCATTGCGTCCCCTTTTGACCCTTGATCTTCCAACCAATGAAAACATTTCACAGCAGACAATTGAGCCTTCCTGAAATGTGTGTATATATTTCAAAGTACTTGTAATAGTATATTTATGCATAAATATAACCTTTGACTGGTTATATTTACAACAACTTTGATGAGTCATAATTCTAACAATATTACAACAAATATCGTATGTTTGGATTTAACGTAAAAGATAAGTATGTCACCTTGATTAACCATAGGGATCTTTGTGTAAGATATTCTAATGGATATTTAAATGTGTTAATACTTTTAAAATATTTTTATATAATGCGCACGTGCCTATATCTTGAAAGGAAAACGAGTTTTATAACCAAAGTCATCTCTGCCTCTGCTTAAAATTTATTTTTTGATTAATCAAATTGTTAAAACTAATAAACCTTTTTGAAATCAGCAACTCAAATTATTTGACTAACCACCTTAATTGAAATTAAGAAAAATATCAATATAACACTTTAAGATAATAAAACTCGTGACTTATATTGTTTATACCAATGACTATGTATTCCAAGTGCTAAACAAGAATGGAAAAAAACATCTCTGAACACATTACTTATCGAAATAGGTTTTCAATTCGTGGAAACAATATATTTCACTAAAAAGCAAGCACATCATCGTTTTAAAATGTAAGACTTTACATGGGTTTATAGTTCGTAACAATTTTACTTCGAACTTGATCAGTTCCACTACTTATTTATGTACTTAAGTAGGGATGTAGGAGTAGAGCCTTTTGTCTTGGTTACTAGAGTTTAAATCACATTAGTAGGTAACACCGTGACCCTGTGGATGGCGGAACTAGTAGTAAATCTGACGAGAAAGAAAGATATACCTTTGATGCTTTGTTACTGATTAAAATGAACTTTTCATTGAGCCAGATCTACCAATTCAAGTACAGCTTGGTCCAGTTTTGAACCGTAAAAATCTACCGACATTCCTCAGGAAACAACTGACAACCTTTGTTAACCAGGTGGGTGACACAATCAGTAAATTACGGATTTTACCTAAGTTTGACCATGTTTTCCATTTCTAGGAACGACTACTTCTCTCGGTATTACCTGAACACGTCGCCGTCAAAATGAGACAAGATCTGGGTTCGGCACTCGACTCTCAATTTAAGAAGATCTACATGAGCAGACACGAAAACGTCAGGTAGGCTTAACAAGTGTTATACAATTATATGAATTTAAACAAAATATATAAAGTTAATGTTAAAATTAAATTTAAATCCCGTTTAAAAGCGTTTCTTGATTTATTAATCCTAAAAACATTAACACTATTTTCTTAGGTTAAATGAAAAAATTAAATTACAAACTTGATTCCATATGCTAGAATAAATAATTATGAAATGGAGAATATTTCAGGCTCAGGTAGGTAAACAGATATACACATAACAATCATAGAAATATAAACAGTATGTTGTACTATGATGGCAACACGTTCTGGATTATCGAAGTAACTAAATTATGATAGTTTTGCTTTGTCACCCCTGGTTGAACGGGAATCGAATTAATTAACTACACAAATCGATCAATAAGTTTGTTCAACAATAATATACAGTACCTATAATGATAGTTGGGTTATAACGAAATTTCCTTTCCTACTTTTCAGTATACTTTACGCAGATATCGTAGGATTTACTGCCATCTCGTCAACATACTCAGCCTCTGAACTCGTCAAGATACTCAACGAGCTGTTTGCCAGATTTGACAGACTCTCTGAGGTAAAATATTGAAATTTACTATGATTTATCTTAAATTGACATTTGTTAGCTTCGTAACGGAAATCAAACAGTTAAACATTCAAAGTGTGAGTATATATTTATTCGTCAAATGTGTTTAACAAGTTGTATAGAATATTTACCAAAAACTTCTACTAACACTTTACGAACTCCACAACTATAGAGCAGGCTATTTACTTGTAGTAATAGGTAGCATTAAAATAAACCAAACTAAAAATTTAAACTTGTTAATATATTTTTTTATTTTCTGATTTTTCCATCTGGCTTGTGTGTTGGCTGCTTTTAGTTCTGGTTGTGTAGGTAAATTCTGAATAGGGTTTAGGACTACAGTGTTAATTAAACCCATTTAGTCGAGACAATTATATAGCAATTTATATAATATTTAATATTTGACTAGAATTTAACAATATATGCTTCCAAACAGATACTCTTTAATAAACAATTCCTTCCACGCATTGCCTAATAAAACTGATTATTTTACACATTTACTCAACTACTTACATACCAAATGGCCATAAAAAGACGATTGCTACCTAAAATTACACATCAGTACTTAATCGCACAACAGGCCACAAAACATAATCAGTGCTAAGGTACACAAATTGTTACAAGTTTGTGCAAAATCACATATACAGGGTGGGGCAGGGAAGTATCCCTAATTTTAAAGGTAAATTAAAAGACAACCAAAAATGTTAGAGCCAAAATTTTTATTGAGATTAAAAGGTACATCTGGGAGTTTATTTTAATATAACTTTACTTGGTTTTAAACAGCATATCCTGCAAGTTGTGTCCCTAATCTTAAATGCATTACTGTATTCTGGTTATGGAGTTCATTATAACTTTGTGAAGCATTTGTTGTGGAAAGAGGCAACATTCAAGGTGAATTGCATCCTTCAAGGCATCTAGGGTCTTCCCTTGAACTATCCTAGGCTTAGCATCACTCCAATAGAGCACATTCTGCTTATTTACCCGCTCCAGGAAAATGGAAGTGTGCCTCGTTACTAAACAAAACCCGAGCAGCATGAGGTAGTCCCGCAATTAAGATTTCACATGCCTGCATTCGTTGTTGCCAGTCCCTTTGTGTGAGTTCATGAGCAACTACCCTCTTGTATAGATGGAGGTGTAAGTCCTCATGGAGAATACGAGGCACAGTACGATTAGACAACGCCAGCGCGGATGCATGCTTACAAGGAGAACTTTGAGGAGACTTCAAAATCGATCTTCTGACAAGGTCAATGTTTTCAGGACTCCGGACCGTTCTTTGAGTTCCAATAATATCCTTCGCAATAAATACACCACCACATACACGAAAGTAATTCACCCACACCAAATTGTAACAGCTTTGCGACAGGCCACCCGATAACCCGACAGCCAATGGTAGCTGCACAGCAACAATAGACAGATTTTTGAAAAAAATACATCTCGAGTGAAAAAGCACATTGGTCACTCGAACAAGCCATATCTACTACTGATAGTGATATTTTTAGAAATTCCCAAAACAAAAGCTTCATTTGAGCCTAACCCCATTCCTCCAGCACACCCCCACTACTCACAGTACCATCTTAAAAGTAGGAATATTTCCCTGCCCCACCCTGTAATAAGCATTTGTAGACAGTCACACATGTGAAATGTATAATTAAATTTAAAAGTTCAACAAGGCCAATATATAATAAATTCTTTTAATCCACACGCGCTTTCAGAAACTATGTTTCCATCGTCAGGCTGTGTTTAAACTTATTATAGTTTTATTATAGTTACACATGTGTTTAAAGAATTACTTAGTCCACATTAAATGATTTCACAACTTGTATTTAATTACCGTCCAATTGTAATTAACACAGAACCAATAAATAGGCTGGATATCCATTGGCAGACAAATCGCTAGTTATTATGTATACTCGCAGTGATGCAGTCGGCCTAACCACAGAACACCCCAGAGTAGATGTGATATGAAACCTATCCAATAATGATGCATGCTCCACTCTGGAGGATACATCTGATTTATTCATCGCCCTTCCACATTCAAAAGCACCACTTTGGGACGTCGTTTATAAAACCAGTATAGATAGAGGATCACTGCAACAGCTGGTGTTAGCAGTGTGTTGTCGAATTTCATATTGAAAGTTATTGTCTCGATGCAGCTATACCGGAGAGTAGTTTCACACTGTGTAGTTTATATTTTCATTAAAACATCGTTGTATTGTATTGGAAGATGAAAATAGAAATTGGTTGTATAAAGATATTGTAATAATTAATTTATTGGTGTAAAAGAACTTTATCGAAATATTGTACCATTGCAAAATACATTTTTGCAATAAAACTCAGTTTCTTTGAGAAAAAGGTAATTGTTAGTACCATTTACGAGGGAGTTTGTATGCAATACTCATTATACTACATGAGGAAAATCAATTTAATCAATCCAATCCTAATATATAATTTAATGCAAGTAATCGTATGAAAAGAACAACGATACAACGTACAAAACCTCTTATTATAAGTACATTACAAAAAAGATTATAGCTTCTTTCGAGATTGCGAAAATCCCGAAACAGTGAAACAAATCCCCATGCTACATACTCATCATATTCTATCATATTCTCATCATATTATTCTTATGTAAAGAAGTATTAGGTTGATTTCGATTTTTTTTATTACTTAGGCTACTCACTCATTTATGGGAAGTTTTCTAAGCAAAAAAATATCACAATCAGGATTTAAAGATTAATTTTAAAGATTTATCTTCCAAACGAAAATATACAGTGAGTATTACTATACGATCTTATTTTTCTAAAATAAGAAAAATGGAGATGGTTGTATCTTCATTAGGAGTACAATACAAAAATAGGATGTTCCGAGGATAGGAAGCTCACCAACCCAAGGCCAGTAAGCAATCAACCAGGCGGAGTCGGCCAATTAAAAGTCAATCATGTATAAAATAAACCGTTTCCATGGAAACAGGGCAATCATTGGGCTCTTTGCTTAAGGGGATTCACCACTGAAAAGGGTGATTTTTTTTATTTAATGAGGAAAGTGGTGAAACTATTTTTTTTCTAGTAGGGTATAATGTAAAAAAAAATAGAAAAATTGTGGTTTACTTCTAAATTCAAATTATAGGTGGAAAAAAAAATAAAATAGAGATTTTTCGGTCAATTTGTAAGGGTTTTAAAAAATCGATATTCTGAAGAGAGCACTTTATGGATTTTGATAAATTTGGTGTTTTTTTAAAGATAATTATCTAAACTTAATATTTAGGTAGATTCATAATAATATCTCGGATACTTTTTTTGCTGTGACACATTAAATATAATTTTTCTTGAGAAAAAAGAATTATTAAACAAAAAAAAATATTTTTCAGTAACTAATTACCTTAGATACCTAATTCTACCTAAATATTTGCCTAATATTGTCTAGAATAAGTAGTAAAAATTTCAACAATGTACCTTTAGTGGCTCTCAAGATATATCAAATTTTGTCTTGAAAAACGTGGAATTTCAATGTTGCGGAAAACCGCATTTGAATAAGAAGGTGTACTGTAATCAATGATATAAATTAAAATAAACTGATAAATAAGGAAAAAACTTATTTTATTGTTACATTATCTTATTGTTTCACAAAATAGGTAAATATCAAACAGGCCTACTTCAGAGAAACATTTAAAAATATATAAGTCTTAGGCCTAAGCCAAATTTAATCCATCGGAAAGTTTGAATCACTCGCCGTTATGGGCATTTTAAAATTCTCCTGCACCATAAGTTTGGCCCTCTTCTTGTATCTTCCTCTGTTCTTCTTCCATTTGTGCCTGTCTCAGTTTTCTTCTGTACTCACTAAATTTCATCTTCTTTCTGGTTTGAGCCAGTTTCAGCCTCTTTTTGTCAAAACTCTTCGCGATTCTTGCGGTCGATCTTCCAGGACTTATACCAACTGATCGCTGCAGATCAAGCATGCTTTGGTTGTATCCAGTGTTGTACTGGCATATGGCTTCACTAACACCGATTCCCAGTCTTGTTTTAGAAGAGAAAGAAGTCTTAGGACATTTTGTCCAAATTACTCCATGGAGTGCCTCATTCGCGTTTTGCGTTTTTCCTGAAATGCACCTCTGGAGCAATGCATCGCTTGAGAGCCGTTGGTATAAGGGGAGGATCTTAGATACAACTCTTTCTGTCAAAGGTGTTTTTATTTTTACTTGGTGTGCCTCTGGTGTTTCACCCTTAGCAATAGCCCTGTTGTAAAAACACCATGATTCTGATCCTTGTGGGCATTTACCATGCATAGGTTTTTCATCGGTTGACGAGCAATGGGATAGAGTAGCAAAAATTGCTGCTTTCATTTTTTTTACATCACCTAAATTGCCTTGAATGGCATTCCTATAGTAGGTAGTTAATTTGTCAATTGTGCTTCCCTTCAAGCTACCATACGACTTCCCACCCAGAGGCTCGCCCTTGCCGGAGTTGTCTTTTACAATGTTTCTGAGACCAGTGCCAAGGCGCTTTGCCACATGATTCAGACATTCCACCTTTTCAATTGTATGATCTTTGTAAATATTCATATTAGTCAAGTGGCTGAATGTTTTAGAGTCACCATCAGATACAATAGTGGTGTAGCGGAAGCCGTGGTTCTCCGAGCGCATCCAAATTCGCGCAGCTGCCTCTGTCTCCATTGCTGGTGAAGATCCATGGTAATTCTGTTGACAATTGGGTTTGTGATGGGCATACCAGTCCCTAAAACGGATAGAGTCATTACCAAGCTCTTTTTTCTTCTGTTCACAAAGCCTACAATATTTAGATAGGACTTCGTAGTCGATTACAAGGCCAGTTACTACATCGATACAGCAACCCACTCCGTTTTTCGAGGTAAACCCCCGCTTCTGCCAACTTCCATCGAAACTGACTGCAATGTTTATGGGCTCTGGTTCATCCAAAGATATATTATCTATTACTGAATAGGCTTTTCTTACCTCTTGTCTAGCTTTCTCCAATGATTCCTTTGCTACGCTATCGTATTTGGCATGTATCTGCTTGATGTGTTTGTTGTATGCAAAATTGTTCATTGCTTTCATATTCATTATCATACTGAAAGCTTCCATACCCCTGTGTCCTTTACCAATACTTAAAAATCCTTGAACCATTCTACGGTTTACGTCAAACGACTGTCGAGTCGAATTTTCATCACAGTTGTTGGTTGTTGTAGACGTGTTGAGAGTATCTTCGTATTCACAGTCACTGCACTTTACATTGAAAAAATTTGCATAGCCTTTAGCTGGCAACTGGTTTACCTGTAAGTTACCCACACATTGAGGACATTTGAAGTTTTGTAAAAATGATGTCAGCTTGTTTCCATCTACCAACACATATTTAGGTGCATTTTCATCTACATCCACTTTGATGTTGTAGCTTTCGTAAAGAGCGAAACCCGTTGGTTGTTCAAAAACACCAGTAGGCTTATTCCTACCTGACTCAGAAGTACTAGGCCTAGAAATATCAGTTTCTGGAAGTATAACCTCACTTTCATCACTTATGTCCATTTCAACACTTACTAATTCTATGGGCTTCACTTCATACCTTTTCAAAATGTTTCTCTTGTTTCGCACTGCAGTATTTACTTTACTTTTTTTCACTCTACCCATATTTAGTATTTTAGCTTATAAAATTATCACTAGCAAATACACAAAAACCAAAACATCAGACAAAATAAATTCAGTTCAGTTGTTTGTTGACATTGCACAACTGGACTAAGGATCAGCTGATCATCTGACTCCACAGTTGATGTCATATGGTTTTTTGTGCATTACAAAGAATATAAAAGTAAGTAAATTTATGAAGGTGTGATTTTATTTTAGGCTTTTATAGCTATGATTATTTGTAAATAAAGGCATATATTACACAAAATCATATGATATATAAAACCTAAGCTGAAACATTACGTAATACCGTAATACATTAAACTTTAAAAATTCGTGAACGTGCAATAACACAAAAAATATATATTTTTTAATGAAAATAACATTCAGACATGACTTATATCATACTTTTTGGATGTAATAGGGTCCAATGTACAAAGAAATGAAAAAAAAAATTTTTTTAATTTTTTATGATTTTTGCCTATTTTCAGTGGTGAATCCCCTTAACCGAGAGAATGCTAATCTCTGTTAAATGAATTGTTGATTCCCAGTATCAAAAGAAAGTAGATTGTATTTTTATTAGTTTTAAACAAAATAAAACATATTGTATCTTCAATTTTTATGAAAAGAAATAATCATAGGTTTTTAAAATTTTCTAAAATTAATTTCTTTTTTATTACAGTTATTGCTTACACTAACTTAGATTTATTACTACTTTTACAAATGATTGATATATTATATGTCGATGATGAGTAATATTTTGATTTTAAATTATACCCAAAATGTAACTTTTTATACATCTTAATTAGTTGTAATAAAAAATTAAGTAAAACAAAAACATAAATATGCAAGCGTTATCCTACTTTTGTTACATTGGCCTATTGAAGTATTTCAAGAACATTAATATGGGATAAATGAATTCTATATAATTGAAACACCCATTCATATTTTTTTTTATAAAAAGCTTTTGTTTTAAATCAGGGAAATAGATTGTTTCTAATATAACTTTTAAAATTTATTTCTAAACAAATTAGGACAATAGGTTTTAGAAAAAGCATTTTAGTGTGATGTAAATCATAATAAATACAGTCCCATAGTAAAATAGCTTTACACATCTAATTTTAAAATTGTATTTAATTGGCATAATGAGTATTATAAATGCAGCAGGCCTCTTCTTAGTTTTGAGTCACAATAAATACGGACACATTTAGACTAAATCTATTGTAGCCTATGTTGTTTGATGATTAATAAAGATTTGTATGATTTTACTAAGGTTATTAGAAGTGTAGTACAGTATTTTTTTACTCAAACACAAAGTAATCCTGACTATACCACAAGATTAATTTTATTTCAGAGATACAACCAATTGAGGATCAAGATCCTGGGTGACTGTTACTACTGTATCAGTGGTGCCCCGAGGGAACGCCCGGACCACGCGGTGCTCAGCGTTCACATGGGGTTGTCTATGGTGAAGGCCATCAAGTGAGTTATAAGAACTTTATCATATTTTTATGTGTCCGTACTTAAAATAAAAACCATTTTATATTATTTAATATGCAATGACATTAAATTTTTTTATTAAGAAAGTGTTGGAAACATGATGTTTATAAATAGTACGACGGCCCTGAAGGGACATTCATTTTGTTTAAATTTACTTCGAATTTTTATCTCGAAGTAGTTCGACTTTGTTCTCGAAGTACTTCGATATTATTTCTAGTCTAGTTTCAACACACACAACTTCTCTCTGTTTCTGTCATTGTCTTAAGTGTCTACTCACTTATGCAAATGTCATGCTTCAATTAAAGCATTGCAAGTATTTCAGGCTGTTGAAGGCATAAATTAAAATATTATTCAATCAGTTCATCAATGTCATATTCCATGATGTGTGCTAAAAACACTTTCTATCTGCCAATTTTGATTAAAAATATGTCTACAGAAGCACCCCTATATAAACAGTTAATAGTTGTGGTTGCAGTTTCCGTAAAGTTATAACAAACGACGATATACGACGGCCTTGAAGGGAAATTCAGTTTGTGTGTCGAGTAATTAAAGTCGAAGTAATTCGAGAATAAAGTCGACTTACTTCGAGATAAAAGTCGAAATAAATTAAAAACAAAAAGAAACTGAATGTCCCTTTAGGGCCGTCGTACAATATATAGTGATATAAATTGTATTTCCCTTTCCTATTTACATGTATATACCTTTAAAAAAATATTATGTTACACATTATGGGAGGAGAGATTACATTAAAGAAAGTCTTAGGGACATAACCATATATAAAATACTGTGGTTTTAAAATTTAAAACACAACCAGGAGGGGAGCAATGTGCATTCATGTAATGATAGTTATCTCATATAGGGACTCATTTTAAGTACAGTATTAAGTATTTATATTATCCAAATAAAAGCTATTTATCGGTGTTTACAGGGTGGTCTTAAGCTAGTGTGAAAATCTTTCGGGTCACCAACCCAAATGTTGCTCAAATACACAATTTGAAACATTTGAAATCTCGCACTTACTCAAAGAGCAATTATTTCTATTATAAAATAAATGTATTAAGCAAAAAAACTCTAAATTTGGGGTTCTTTTTGCTACATGAACCCCAATGGGTTTTCAAAATAATCTAAATCATTTTTCTTTGAGTGAGTGTGTAGTTTAGATTTTTTAATTTCTGTATTTGTGTCACATTTGGGTATTGTACTATTTTGGGTAATTTTAAACCACACTGGTCAGTGCAAACATCAGTTGTAAAACCAATTTAGTAAAAACCAGATTTGTTTTCAGTGACGTGCCACTTTGGTGTTTGGCAACAGTTGTTTACATTAACTGATAAACAGAAAATGTGATAGCATTATGTCACGCAATGATTCGTGGTAGGAATAGTATCTGCAACAAAATATTTAACAGTATAAAATGATATGTATGAACCTAAACCTACGTACATTACAATATCAAAACAATGGGCAGTAGCGGTGCCAAATTGCAGCATGCTTCTTCATAACAACAGTGTTCTTTAATGTGAAATATGTGTTATTATACAACACAGTGGGCAGTGTTACTTATCTTATTATTTATTTTCACCAAACAGAGAATTGCTCTTGAATGTGATGCATTTATTTGTAAATTACTCTGTATAATATAGACCCTAATTTAATAAGTTATAGAATATAGTTGTGATTAATAGTCGATAAATATTATATGCTTGTGTACCGGTAGCATTAAAGTGGGTTTCCAAGGGTGCTGAAAAACCTATTTACTTCATAATGGACCTGTAATATCGGTACATATTAATTTCATGGTTTCAATTTAACTTAGTTTATTAGTTTTATTTAACTTAGTTAATTTAATAGTGATAAAAGAAGATGACAGCATCCCACATTTAATGTTAATAAGAAAAAAAACACACCAGCAAACTTAATAAGTGCGGTTTGTCATCGTATAAAAAGTAAAAGTCAACTTTAGTTCATTTTCAACCACAAATTTCATCTCTTTGTTGAATAGTAAAAACTTAACGCCTATGAAAAAAACGAATGTGCAACGCTTAAAACACGAACGTTTTTTTTTTAGAACCTGGCAAACATTTTAGGGGAGGGTTTTTAACATGTTATCTTTTTTTGGACACGCCAAATGTTATTTTGTCGTGTTGCGATAAGTTAATAACTTAACAATCACAAACAATTAGAAATTGACATTAGCTTTACGTTTGTAATGAATATATTATTTTCAATAGTTTACTATACCATTTAGCTTTCCTAGAACTTTGTTATTTACTCTAGACAAGGCATTATTTTCACAACATAAATATGTATGTTGAAAATACTTGTTAAGTTGTATTAAATTACACAAGTAATAATAAAAAAACACTTTGTTCGTTACGAAAGCTAGCTTGTCGTGACGTCAATCAAAAGTGATTGACCAATGAGAGCTAACAAGTACCAGTTTTAAAGCAGAATGGACCAATAGCAGCGTCCAATTTGTAGGATATAATGTTAGTTGTCAGAGGGGAAGTGAATTGCTTCCTACCAATCTTGTTGCTGCCTCACTTCTAATGGCACCCCTCACCAACATCTTTAGTATACTGTTTCAAACCATTACAACCTATGTCATTAATAAATTAAGCAAGAGAAAATGAAAGTTTGTCTCATTAAAGTTTAAATATAATCGTGAAATTTGAATTTTCCAAAAATATTCTTAAGTCATCCGATGTAAAACCCAACAAACAATTACAACATTTAATTAGTTAATTTCATCCAAAACTACAATTCACTCAGTTACTGTCTTTTGATAATTGTTGTATTATAAGCTAAGTTATGTATTTAAATAGTGACTATTTAAATCATAGTAAAAGTGTACGTATTTTAACGGAGTGAAAGAAGGTCCTTCAGTTTTTCATCAGTAATAAAACATAGGGAAACATGCACAGTCAGAAATCTTAATTTCCGGGTGCCATCTGTGTAATTTCCTGAGCTTTGTTTCTTTCAATAAGATTACAAAAAATGTAACTACTGAGTGGTGGTAAAATACTCATTTTAATAAATGTGGTGATGCCAATTTTTACAATGGGGATATAACGTTTATAAATTTATTGTAGTCAACAGTTTCTACCACACTCATGTATACCCAAAAAGTTTTCGTCTTAACTCGTGTATACGTGTCGTGAATATTCCTACATGATGTGGATATATTAAATAACCTTGTCACATAGAATGTGCTGGAATTGTGATTTTATATTATTTTTTTGTTCTATCATCCTTTACAAGTTGATCAGTTCATACAATATGGGGTATATTACAATTAGGTGTCATTTAAGTTTAGTACGTCAAATCTTTTTTTAATTTATTACGGACGAATAAGTACTATGTAACACATAAATATTGTGTTGTAGTATTGTTTTGCGGAAATGTTCCGTCGGTGACTCAAATGAGCTAACTGTTTTAGGGGATAAAACATCAGAATCTTTAACTTGATAATGTAATATTTATGTAAAAGTTTCCACCAAAAGACAAAACTAGAGGTGTTTATTTTATAAACCCAAAAAATGTATATGCTTAACATTGACTCCCCAAAGCAATTCAATAATAACTCCATCGATACTTTCTAGATTACTTTCAAATCCATTAGCTATATAATATTTAGTGCATATATTTTTAATTTTGTAACTCCAGATTATGCTATTTTATGTAATCCAAACAGCTTAGGGGCTTTTATAAAATTCCACACTAAACCTAAAACTTTAAATAATTTTGGAATTTTGTTTCTTTTTTAGTAGTTATACAGACTTAGATTGTAATACACTTGATTATAAACATACAAGGTTATATTATATTCCTATCTTTCTTACAACTAATGTTGTAAGATGTAACAATGTTGTAATGGTTCATATAGTAATCTTTGTTGATTCCTTTAATTCAGAAAATGTTTGAAACTATATAAACTAACTTGAGTTTAACAATGGTGTTCTTTATTAATTTGGTTAGTTCAATTTATTATCCTTAAATAATTATAATAATAGAAATATATAGAGTGAAATCATTTAACACTAATTAGTTTCATGAAATATGTATGATTGATGACTGTTGCTAGGGTGAATTAAATCAGCGAGCAATGTAAGAAAATGTATCATAATGTTTATGGTTCGCTAAACCTAATTGTATTTTCAATTTGATAAATAAACTAACCGTAATAATAATGTTATTACGAAACAATTTTTCGTTGGAAAAAATATTGTTTAATATGGTTTTAAATATTAAATGGGTAACAAATTACACGGTTTTATATGATTTATACCTTTAAATTAAGTACGTTTTAATTGACAAAGGTGACGTAGGTGATTTTATGGAAATTTCTACATAAAACACGATATTCAAAGATCCGGTTGCAGTCAGAGCCTTTTATGCTTTACCGCTTAACAATGTCTCGTTTACTTCAAAACGTAGCGACATCGACAATCGGAATATTTGAATTCCTTATTTGCCATACAAATCATGGTGGTGCATTGTGAGCTATACAGCTGTATACATTGAGTGTAACTTAAATTAATTGCCTGGTTTACATTCCCGTTATTTATTTCACCAGATCTTTGTTAATAAGTAGTAATATTCCGTTAAGGGTTAAAAAAAGACGTAAACAACATTCGTTCAAATTTAAAGATATTCTGATTGAATTGCCAGATAAATGGGTTTGGGTACCAATAAACAGTTTCTTGGCTGTTGCCCACATTTTCACATTTCCACTCAACAGTAAACACCATACTAATCAACGTTTTTTTGTATTATAATGAGTCACCATCAATTCTTAAACTCAACTCCACGTTGATACTCTTTTGATACTTTTTTTATATAAGCTTTGAAAATCTTAATTTAACCAAAATTATCCTAACATCATGATTTTTAAGTGTAATGAATCCTTTCCTATGTATTTCTAGACCAGAGTTAACATCGAAGTTCTTTTTACCATATTATTTTTGAGTGAAAAAAAGACTCAGATGGAAAAGGGGTTTTTTAAAAGCATCTAAAACATACACTAACTCATGTCACATACTTATCACACTAGCAATATCACTATTTTACCATTTTATGTAGTTATTTTACACTTTTATTACATTTGATTGTGGTGACATTTAGTCATTCAACTATCAGATATTGAGACGAAATGTCTACGTTAGATAGTGACACGGCCAATAACATTTAAAAACACATAAATAAAATAATAGATCGCACTCCTGTCCTAGATATTATTATACTACGAGTATTGATCTATACTATTTATAAAACAATCACAACTTCAATGGAAATATGTTCGTATTAGATGTTTGAAAAACTATTTCAAACAATAATATAACAGAACTTTTGGGTGAAATTGAGTAAAAATACAGAGAGAACACTTACATAAGCAGCCCTGGAGCTATGTTGCCTCTGCTGATTAGGACGCCTTCAAAGAAGGACTCTAGCCTCATTACACTGTAGAACACTGTCTCGCACTGCACTCTAAAACAACAAACATGTACAGTATTGTGCAATTCCTTATATCGCTGGTTTTACATGGTGTCATTCTATGTTTGGTGAATTAGTCCATACTATGCATGTCTGAATATTGCAATAGGAAATTTTGAATTGGATAATTTATCGTTATTTTGTAAATGTTGTTTACTTATGGTTATTCCTTAATATAGTACCTGAAGACCATGGAAATATTCCTATCTGTTTATGAGCTTGCCGTATAAAATGAGATCAGAATGATTTGAGAATATTATGAAAAAACGTATCATCAGCATTGGAACTAGAATATCTTTCTATTATCCTTTGTAAGTTTCAGGCTTCTTAAAAAACTAAATTGTTAGAGGGTGATAACAATTATTGATGTTTTACATTTTATTTTTCGAATGGAATATTAAATTAACTTTCATTGTTAGGAAGTTAAATATTTGATAGGCTTAACATAGGCTTATATGGTAATTTCTCATATCATCAATGTGCCGTGTAATAATAATTTATATTAACCACGAAATAGTGCATAATGGTATAAAAATCTAACATTACCACTACCAACCAACTGTTCGTACCCAATTGTCTGTAAAGATTTGAACAACCTATTTGGACAAACAGTAATTTCGTAAAAAGATACAAGAATGGTATCTCCACTTGAAAGAATATATAAGCAAGAAAGGGCAAATGCAAAAAATTTTCAATCAAAACGATATCGCTTTATCAGCACTTGAAACACATCACAAGATACTTAAGATGACGATGAAATGTCCAGCAATTAATGTTTGGAATGAATTGTACATAATTGCAAGTATACGTGATTAAATAAATCTAGTAGTTTTGTTTGACGCGTGTTTTTATGAAGTTTAAAGGGAAACCTATATTAAAAGCTAAAATAACTGTTAAAACCCTCCCTATCATTATAATTACAATAAGCCTCCTAGAGTTGCGTTTAAAGCCAGAAAATTTCAATTCAATTTTTTAGCCCCTGAACTGCGTAGTATAGACTAAACTATTACATACCTCGTCTTACAGTTCAAATATAGTCTGTCTCAGTCAGTGCCGTTGGTCAAGTTATGTGTTGTAGGCCTACAGGTTTAAATGTTTTTTATTCGTTTATTTATTTTGGTGTCATAATGTAAATATTTTTGTATTTGAAGTAACATGTTGACGAGTCCAAATTGGATAAGATGTTTCTGTAACTACTTGAGAATGCCATATATGGCGAAACATATGTAGTGGACTTCAAACACTATATTTGAACTGCAAGACGAGGTATGTAATAGTTTAGAAAATTTAATCAAGAACATTGACTTAGATGACTTGTGGGGCTTCATTATTGACTAAGACCATCAGATTCTTTGGCCACGACCATTTATTAAAATCCTAATTACTAAGAACAGCTGAAAAGCCACGCAAATTGGAGCAGCCACCATCTTATAGCTTTACCTGCTTAGCTACCCCAGTAATGCGCTAGCCGGTTAAACAATGTAGTTAATGTATAACCATCCTATTGTATACAATAATCATCCATCTATACTACGTTTTCCTCTGCGCAGGTATGTTCAGCAGACGACCAATTCCCCGGTGGACATGCGGGTCGGTATCCACACTGGGGCAGTCCTAGCAGGCGTGCTTGGTCAGAGACAGTGGCAGTTCGACGTATACTCCAAGGATGTCGAGCTAGCCAACAAGATGGAGAGTAGTGGACTCCCAGGGTAAATACTGTAGATTGATTATTGCACATGATAGAACATATGTAGTCTATTCAATCATGAGTCTGATTAATGTGAGTGTTATTCATACCACAGCTTTCCATCAGCGAAGTCCTAACTAATCCCCACACTTACGAAACAACAAAAGCCACAAGGCAGGTTTGAAGTACTTTTTGTCATGGGTTACGGAACTTAAGCGGGGTTTTTTTAAATCCTAGACTACACAACAATCTGATTGGGCCAAGAAAACGAGCTATTTGTACTTGATATCTTCGATTGCCAATAATCTTATGTATCGAGAGTGGTTATTGATTGGAACGGGTTGTTATATTGTAATCACCTCGATCAAGCGAGTGATTCGTCTACTTCAAATAGGACTAGATGATTGACACAAGAATAACACGGATGGTCGTGTATACGGGACGGGCGACTAGGATTTCAATATCCAGAGGCGAGGGGTGGGTAGAGTAAATAAATAATTACATCCTTGGCTGTTCTTACGAGCAAGTCTAGCAAATCCCAGTGGAATCGTTTTTGGTACAGATTTATAAGAAGGTACGCATATCTGTTTTGTGAATTGGTGAGCTTAAACATGGTGTGGTGTAAAGACAAATTTACTCAATGGATCAAATGTCTTTATTAAACCCTTACTTATTTTTGAAATCCCCCTTACTGAACTTTATTATTGCAGGTGTTAAGATTCATTGACTTTTAATTGAATAGGTATCATGTATACTGATCATTCATCCTAAAAAAATATTATAATCTAATAAATCCCTTAATCATGTGAAACTTAAAAATTGATTGATAAAATGATAAATTTTAAATATCCTTAAAACTCTAATTACTTTTAATACCGTACCTTCGTAATATAATCAAACGTATTTACTGATGTATCAATCAAACATATTTAAATCAAACATATTTACTGATGATCATCAGTAGTATAAAACACGGGGGTGATCCCGTGACGTCATAATTAGGTAATTGGTAAGTATTTTGTGATTGTGGAGCAGCGTGAATTACGCAGCGACTCTGGCGATGTATGTTGTGGATTGGTTGGTATTGTTATTAGGTCAAGGTTGTCTGAATGTGTTTTTTTAAATGTTCAGCTTTAATGTTTCAAATATACCATGTACTGGATTGTAAAAATATGTATTGTTCCATTTAACTATCCATCAACTAGCTGTCTCATATAATCTTCGAACTCTGGGCGGAGAAAGTACGAGGTACTAGATACTTGTGAGTTCTGTATCGGTGACATAGTTACGTCTACTGCGTTTTGTTCTTGAGTGTTTTGTTCTTGAGTGTTTTGTTCTTGAATATTATTATTTGAGATATTCGATGTTGAAGATATTTTGGGGTCTTGAATAGGAGCTGAATTTCTTGCAGACATGTTTTCCTGACGGTAGCTAAGAGTCAAATGATCTGTAGTTTACTCTGTTAACACTTATATAGTGTTTACAGAAATTCTAAATGTTTGCACAGAGACGTTTCAATCTTCCGAGAGATGATTCTCACGGAACGACAACAGATGTGAGTGTTCGCATGTGTGTGCCTATAAATAACTAGGCCTACTCGTTCTCGCGGGGGACCGACATGTGATTAACTGTTATTGCTTTACTTTTTCTAGCGTCACTGATTACGCTTAGCGGTGTTACGGCTTTTTGTTAATGGATTATTTTATCTATGTAGGAGGTAAGTTAACCTATTATTGTTTCTGCATTGTGTTCAAGATTGTTGTTTGTCGCGCAAACTAGACACGCTTCATTCGTATTGCGTACTGCTTTGTGTCAAGCAATTTTATCCTGTCACATTTTGTAATTTCCAGAGTTTTAATTATATTTCCCTGTTGTATTTTAAGTTTAAGTGTTTCCAGTTTGTGATACACGTCGTCCCATTGTGATTTGTGGAATATTCCCTAAATATACAGGTAATTAATTTTTCTTGTCATATACATATAGTATCCTAATATATATTAGCTTTTACTATTTATTTATAAGAAGCTCATTCCTTAATCATTACTTAAATTAGCTCAACTATTTGTATAAAAGATCCTACCACTATTTTGTCTAATCATTTAAATACAACCTTTCTCATAGTATAAAAACGAAACTAACTTATCTTTCAAATATAATCCTAATTATATGAAAACTTTACAAGACTATAAATAAATATTTCGGTAAATCTGCACTTACAAAACACTTATCTTAACTCAAAAATTCTTTTGCTGTATGAATACAACAATATACGTTACAACCATTTTTACCGCCTATTTTATAATAATTTTCTACAGAATAAAACGGCTTTCGATTAGAAATAGTTTAGGTATTGGCAGTGAGTTTTTAGTCTTTTCACGTGATATAAAAATTTGAGGCCAATCTCACTAGAGTTTACTAGTGTATTTTGTTGACTATTAATTAAAACTAATGCAGTACATAGCAAACAGCTGATTGATTTATCACTTAACAGATTGCACTACGTTTCTTTTTTGCTTCAAATTTTTACATTACTTGGGAAGTCTATTCTGTGTATAGTCAATGGTTTTATGTTTTTAAGAAAATTGGTATTCCAATATCGCTAAATCACTATACGTATTTAATGTCTCACATTTTGTAACAGATGTTATGTAAACCGCAAATAATCTTTCTTGTGATATATACAAACAAAAAACTATATCATTTACCTCAAATCATTATATTATAATAAAAAATAAATGATTTAGGATAAAAAAATATCTTATAATGTACATTGTCCTTGCCAAAATAAATGTATGTTTATTCAAGTTCACCTCATATTTTGTTGTAGTCCTAATGATAATATTAATTACCTTTTGTTGTTTTTGTATTTGTTAAAATATGGACTGATTAAACTGAATAACTAAACATTTTTAAGATTGAAAAAATGTTTACCGATTTCCTTAACTAACAATGTATAAACGTATAAATTGTTCTTCACAAAACGAGATATCTAAATATGACTCTAATACATTAATTATTAACTTGTTTGGATTATAAAAGGTAAAATGTGATTGCCTAAAATTATACTTTGTTTTTTATTGAGGATTGCTTTATTGACATACGTAAAAATTTCTTCACATTCTAATAATCATAATAGAAAACTATATATTTTACTTAACAATTTTTATATTAAATTATTCTTTGTTCTTTTATCTCAAATTGCTTTCTCACGTACATGAATTGACTCACTTTTTGTTACGCTCTTAAATTATAATATTAATCAAGGTACTTCTCATAGTCAGTTGGCGACTTTATTAAAATATAGCTCGATTAAATTGGTTGTTTTTTATACGATTTTCTTAACATATGACTTGTTCTTCTCAAAATAAACATATAAAATGGTTCTAATACTTAATTGCTTAATGTGTTTTTTTTTCTTCTAGAGTTAACTAACGCAGCTTTACTTGAAACACGGAGTATTCCTGATTTACTACAGGTAATTATTTGAAAAATCTTAGTTTACGCATAGTTCAGATGGTTTCTATCTCTTTGTAATCTTTCCTTAAAAAATACATGTACAACTAAATATATTTTAGTTAATAGTATTTATATTAAATTATTCTTTGTTCTTTTATCTCAAATTGCTTTCTCACGTACATGAATTGTTTCACTTTTTGTTACGCTCTTAAATTATAATATTAATCAAGGTACTTCTCATAGTCAGTTGCTGACTTTATTAAAATATAGCTCGATTAAATTGGTTGTTTTTTATACGATTTTCTTAACATATGATTTGTTCTTCTCAAAATAAACATATAAAATGGTTCTAATACTTAATTGCTTAATGTGTTTTTTTTTCTTCTAGAGTTAACTAACGCAGCTTTACTTGAAACACGGAGTATTCCTGATTTACTACAGGTAATTATTTGAAAAATCTTAGTTTACGCATAGTTCAGATGGTTTCTATCTCTTTGTAATCTTTCCTTAAAAAATACATGTACAACTAAATATATTTTAGTTAATAGTATTTATATTAAATTATTCTTTGTTCTTTTATCTCAAATTGCTTTCTCACGTACATGAATTGTTTCACTTTTTGTTATGCTCTTAAATTATAATATTAATCAAGGTACTTCTCATAGTCAGTTGCTGACTTTATTAAAATATAGCTCGATTAAATTGGTTGTTTTTTATACGATTTTCTT